ACTGAGTAACTTGCCTCCTTAGTGTATTTATCTGTCTTAACTTTCTTTCTATTTCCCATTTCCCACTGTGTCTTACATCTAAAATCTGTCCTTTCAATCTCTTTATAAGACCCCTTTAGTAAAAGAAAGTCATCAATAGAAGAAAGGAGTTATGGTAGCAGGAAAACAGAGGGAGTTTTAGGAGAGGTTTCTTTAGAAGTGGGTGAGACAATAGAACTGAGAGAAACAGGAATTTGGGACTTTTGAGCCAGATCAGATTTCAATATATCATTGCCAATTTGCCTCATGGAGAGTTTGTTGTTAGTCACAAACACAATGACTCCTGTGACCAGAGTAACAATTATAAACATTATGGCAAGAAAAAATAAAACATGAGGGTGCGATGTGTTCCACCCTCCTTTTCCCCCAGCTGGAACTTTGTCAAGCAGCATTGGAGGTCGGTCAGGCTTCGCCAAGCACTCTGGGAGGTAGGCTGGAGGATTACAAGTTCAAGCTGAGCCTGGACATTTTGGCAGCTTTCTGTGACCCTGTCTGAAACTAAAAAATACAAAAGGGCTGTGGCTGTAGCTCAGCGTCAAGATCCTGGGTTCAGTCCCCAGTGCTGCAAGAACTAAATCATTTTCCCAAGCCCAGACAGATAGCATTTGCCAATTACTGTGGTGTAAACACTCCCTTCCCAGCCACCTTTGGCTCAATGATGTCACTGAGCTATCCACCAGTGGAGAGTTCAGAAGCAGTGGCAGAGCTCTCTGTCACAGGTGAGTATGAGCAGTTCTTGCACACATGTGACAGCCCAACACGCACCTCTTTTCCTTTATTTAAAGGTTAGGAAAGTTTCTACCTCAGTGTCATGGTTCCTTTCAATAAAACTCTGATGCCAAAACTATAGCAAAGGAACTCAAGAAGAAAGGAGCAACAGAATTCTTTGCTGACAATACTGACCCTTTACATTTTCAGTACCTTAATGCAAATTTGTTTAATTACTTACAGGAATACAATGTGACTATCTACTTAAAAGGCAGAGACACACAGTTATGCCTTGGGTTTTTACACAAGAAGAGATGTGTGTGTGCACAGCATCCACTAAGACACTTCATAGGAGTACAGATCTTGTTACAGTGGAAAAAGGGATAATAGACAAAATCCATCCACAAAATAGGGTGGGGAAGAAAACAGGAATATTAAGTGGATAAATGTGAGACAGTGAACTTGATAGACAGAAATATAATTTTCAACATAGTAGTAAGAAATGAAAAGTTATAAAAGAAAGTGTTATTTTATTGCATAATGTTCAGAATATGACAATATATACTATTTAAGAATAAATATCTAAATATCTTTTCAAATTCTGTAATGTCAATGACAGTGCTCTCTCTTTTTCTCCTGGTACTGACAGCACTGCTTTCTTCTTCCTATGCCATCCTACTTTTTCTGTATAGCGTAACTTCATAGTGACTTCTGTTTCATGCTTCATTGTCATGGTTCAGGACTGTGGTGTGGAACAAAGGACGAAAGATTACTTGGACTCAACATCCAGTTTCACCTCCCAGAGGGCCCAGTGGAGCTGCTTAACCAAGGCCCCTCAGTGTGAGAGGGCCTCTAACGACAGCCCCAAACTGCAGGTTGTGTGGTCCTTTATTGACAGCCCTAGGAAGGAAGTATAAAGGGCAAAAGATGGGCATCTATGCAGGAATCCATGCAGGGGACAGGGAAGGACAGACAACTCTGCTACGTGACTGACCTCAGGGCCAATTTGGGTAATCAAGTGGAGAATGGGGAGCACACGGGCCAGAGCATGTATTCCCTAAGGTGATGTGTTTTGATTCTACGTGGACTGTGGCCCTCTAGGGTGTCTTTTAGTCTTTAACTGTGCATTCCAGGAGGCTTGGTGCTTGTAGCCCCAAAAGCCCCTTGTTGCTGCCTGTCCATCTCATACATGCCTCAGGCCAGTCCCTCCCAGGTCCCCATTTTTTGTTTTGTATGTGAGACTGGAAAGAGGGACAGGGTGAAGGGGGAGGGATATTGGGCTTGGTAGAGAAAGGTCAGCATGGCTTCAGAACACAGTGTCCACTGAAATAGTGTAGAGAGGCTCTTAGGAGAGGGAATTCTTCAGCCAGAAAGCACCTGTCATGAGGTAGTGAACTCCAGCCCTGAGAGTGTCCAGATAGCCCATGATACCTACCATAACCCCTTAAAGGTCCAGGAGGGGACAGGCAGGCTCCACTAGGGTAAGAGTTACCATGGGAAGCAAGGGTAGGCTGAGGGTCTCCACAGGTGGCTGTATCTGGACGGAGATTCTCTGCACACAGTCTCCACTCTTCCTGTGAGGCCATTGTCTCCTCTTCTTGAACACCTTGTTTTGACCACATTGGCAGTTTTCTCTTAGTATTTTTGGAATATTTTAAATTATTGTGGGGCATATGAAATTTGTGTTCTTAAAAAATCAACAGTTCTCTTTGCTCAGAAATAGTTTTATTAATTTTTTGTGGTTTTCTTTTTGCTGCTACATGCAGTTGACAAACATTTGAAATGAACTGTGGGTTATAGTGAATCTAAGAATAAATTTATTCTCAGGCTTTATTTTTTTTGTTTTGTTTTGTTTTGTTTTTTTCAGTACCGGGGATCGAACTCAGGTCCTTGTGCTTATGAGGCCGGCGCCCGAACCACTGAGCTAAATCCCCAGACCACTCAGGCTTTAAATTAACAGGGAAAAAATGAGCCTGGGCTCTGGACCTGAGTCCATGGACTGCTGGGCACAGTGCTGTGAAGCCATGGTTTGGATCAGACCTGGGATCCTCTCTGTTCTGTAATAATCGTCCTCTCAGCTCCACTCAGCTGCTAGTGCAGAGACAGGAAGTGAGGACGTTGTGTACAGAACAGAGAAAAGAGGGCCATCCCACAGAAGACTCGGCCCACCAGGGAGGATGCTCCACACTCTACCATGTGGGGGCCACATCAGCGAATGCTCAGTGATCACCTTCCCTAAACCCAGTCACAAGACAAAGCCTCGCCTGGAGAAGGAACTGGAGGGCAGAGCTGAGGGTCATCCATCCCAACGTGACAAGGAATGGGAATGAGGAGAGGGTTCACAGGAATGCCAGGATACTCATCCTGCAAATGGGGATGAGAATGAGTCCCTGACTCCCTCAGGTAGCATACAGAAGACCTCAGGAATCACAGCCTAGTCTCTGCTGATGGTTTTATTTCTTCTCAGGTGCTGAGGTCCACTCATGTGAAGACCTAGTGAAACTCTGTGATGCCTCCCTCCTCTTCCTGAAGTCACTCCATTCAAATAAATCCCAGCATTACCGAGATCCAACCTTCACCTCAGTTTCCCGTTACCACCTCAATTCCAAATCCACACCCAGTTTACTTATCTTACCCTGTCCTGCTGCTTTCAATATTTTCTCCGTGAGACCAATCCTATTTTTAACAATGCCTTATCTGTGTAATTGACATAGGGGGAAGAGATGTAACTCCCAGACCTACTAGATATCTGAAACGTGAGTTCGTGTTCTCTAATATCAAAGAATGAATTCCAAGAACAATGGAGGTTAAGAGTAGGAAAAATTTATTGAGAGAAAGAAAGCTTCTGTCTAAGAGAGACAGAAGGGGACCGGAAAGTGGGTTGCCCGCCCACCCCAATTTTCAAAGATGTTTTATTCAGCAAAGCCAAGTGATGAGGCGGGTACACAGTGGAACAAAACTATAAGACCCAATGGAAACTTACAAGGAGGGCATTAGATGGGACAAAACCATGACCAACCAATAAGATTACAAGTACAGTCACCCAGGTAATATTGATTAAATGGGGATCAAATGGGAAGACAAGTCACATACAAGGAGTTTCCCATTTAGAATATCAATCACTGCCATCTATCTCTAGGGGAAGTAGTGCCTCTTCTTTGTATAACGCTAACCAGTGAACCCTAACCCTAACCCTAAGGGAGCTCCGCGACCCCAGACAGTCTGCTCCCCGGCCGGGCCCTCCTCCTCGGCTCCCTCCCTACAGCGGCTAACCTCGGCTCGCCAGCCTTCGCCCGCGGCGCCCTCTTGTGGCAACTCCCGGAAACGCCTCTGAACACTGTCAGAGGCACCGAGGCACAGGGCCCCGGGATACTCGCTGAGAACCTGGGACCCGGACCCGGACCCGGACCCGGAGCCGGGATTCCAGGCTGTGGCAGCACATCCTCCCTCTTTGGGTTCCCCAAGGTGCTGATCATCAGCTGAACATATTTATTTTCGCACTTGCTGGTTTATCGCACACTGTGTGTTTCACTAAGGTGCGCGTGGTAATTGATACGAATGACCTCGTCCTCAGCCCACAAGAGCTGGGCTGCAGACCGAGGGCCGAGTTACTGAACAGCCAATGGCAAGCCTGAGGCGTGACGCTCGGAGGCCAGGGCGCCTGCGCCGGGAGAGGAGCAGGACTGCGGTCGTGGGCGGCGTCTCCCTCGCGGGTCGGAGTGCGGTTTCCCCTGCACAAAGGCCCGCAGAAGCGAGACGGAGGATCTCAGACCCCGTGTGACCCCGAATCCATAGAGCCCCAGTCTTGGGTCCGGAAATGCATCTCTCTTCCTGAGCATGGGGGTACAGGTAAGCCCGCTGCTTACGCCTTTCCTCGCCCGGCCAGGGTCCTGATGCTCCTGGGTCCCGCTTGCTGACGGCCGGTGAGGCAGCAGGTCACGAGGACCAAACGTGACAGAGAAACCCAGGTGCCCGCTGGCCCCACGGTGCTCTAGAGCCAGGGCGCCGCTGTCTGGGCGGGGGCTTCCTCCTGCACCGTGAAGCCGCCTGCAACACACCGGGCAGGAGGGCAGCTCGCAGGGCGGAGGGCTGCAGAGTTGGCCAAATTATCCAGTCGCGCTTGGGCCACCAGGGCTGACCCCTCCCGGGGCAGAGTTTGGGGGTGGAGAGTGGGGGGTGCCGACGTCGCCCCTGTGCTTCTTCTCCACAGAGCCAGGACCGAGCCCTCTTCGGCTTCTCAGCTCATCCTCACAGCAGAGCCCGTCCCAAGCTTGGGGGTCACCTCAAGGTCGGGAGCTCATCCTGAGGGGAGCCGGAACCGGAGCCCCAGCGCGCCTGGGTCACGTGTTCGGGAGGGGACAGTGAGGGACAGGCCTGCTGGTTCCCGGGACGGGTGAGCCCACCCCGGGCGGATGCGTGGAAGAGAACAAGGGCTTTTCCCTCTTTGGGGGGGGGGGGGGTACCAGGGATCGAACTTGGGTCCTTGTACTTGCAAGGCAGGCACCAGAACCACTGAGCTAAATCCCCGGCTTCCCTCTAATTTTTATTGAGGTGAAATTTAAATAACAAAGTTAACCTTCTATTAAATTAATGTTGTCCTGGTGAAAGCCCAGCCTGCCCGGGAACAGAGGAGGTAACCGACCATGGCTGGAGCGGGCAGCGGGGAGGAAAGAGGGGGCCTGACACGGGAGGCTCTGCACAAAGGAGAGAAGGAAGCTCCCTGGCGGAGGACGGTGGAAACTGGAGAGAAGCGCAGGAGAGGCCTGGTGGGGTCGCAGCAGGGAATCCGCGGTGTGCAAGGCCCGGGCCTCCCACAGGGACAGAGGCGTTGGCCAGGTGCCCACGGCCCCTCCCCAGCCCTCGCCGTGCCTGCACCCCACACGCGCACACACATGCACACACACACACACACATGCCTCAAGTCCCCGCCGGGCCCTAGTGATGGTGCCCCTGCCTCTGAGCACCTGGCGGGGCCCCGTGCTGGCAGCCAGGGGACCTCAGGGCGTGCGGGAGCGGGGGCAGCGGCCTGTGCATGGCTCGGACCCGGAGCGGCAGCCGTTTCTTCCGGCTGTGCCAGGCCTCGGCCAGGAACCCGGCCAGGAGGACCAGAACCAGGGCGCCCAGGCACAGCCGCACCAGGTTGCCCTTGGCGTAGTGCAGGCGGGCGAAACCTGGGGGGAGAAGGCGCCGTGGCGGAGGCCAAACCAGGACACGCGCAGGCCACAGAATCCCTGACCCAGACCCTACTGTCCCCTCCAGCTGGGGTGCAGCTCCTCCCCCCAGAGAGGCTCCACGGGCCCCCACTCACCCCCGCCCACCCCAGGGCCCCCGCTGGGCTGACTGATTGAAGAGGAGGACACAGTGGGAAGGGCCAGGGAGCGGGAGGGGGATCTTCTTTCTCTGACCCTCAGGAAAACCCTAACCTCCCCACCTGATCTTGTTGCCCAGTCTGGAGCTCGCGCTGATCACCCTGTCCCGTTAATGCTGCACACACGGGACCAGGGAGCCTGGGCTCCTCTACAGAGAAAGGGTGCGTTTCCGGGGTGCACTTCCGGGGAGGAGGCGGCGAGCAGGGAGAGGCCTGGGAGGCCCACTTACCCAGAGGAGGGCTTGAGCCCCTGGGAGAGACAGCGTTGTTCCTAGATGTCGCTAGCAATCAGAAGGGCTCGGTGTGAATGAAGAGAAGCATCTCCCGTGCCATGGGCAATGCCTGGGGGCGGAGCCGAGGGCCCTGGACTGTCCAGTCAGCCGCCCAGTGGGACCCGAGGCCAGCACTTGTCAGATGCGGGGCCTCTGACAAGGGACTCAGCATCTCTAAGCCTACTTTCCCGTCCGTCCAATGAAGCCAATGCCACTTAAATCACGCCTGTCACCCCAGCATGCTGGGAGGCTGCAGCAGGATTGCAAATTCAAGCCCAGCCTGGGCAACTTAGCAACTTAGGGAGGAGACCCTGCTTCAAAATAAAAAATAGAAAAGGGCTGGGGAGGGAGCTTAGTGCAGAGCCGGAGGATCAACACCCCAGTGACACACGAAAAAGAAAAAAAGAATGGGAAAGAAAGAAAATTAAAATAACATGTATTGAACATCCCTCCTATGAATATCTGAAATCTGAAATGCTCTAAAGTTTGAAATTTTTTGAGCAACAACAGATGCCACAAGTGGAAAATTCCACACCTGACCTCACAGGCCAGGTCACAGTCAAAATGCCGATTAAAAATACTGTATGAAATTGCCTTCAGGTTGTATGTAGAAGGTACACAGGAAACAAATGAGTTTTGTGTTTTGACGTGGGTTCCGTGTGCAATATTTCTGTGTGCAAATATTCCAAAATCCCAAACACTTCTGCTGTCAAGCATTTCAGATAGGGACACTCAAACTGTAACCACAAGAGCTGCCCAAGAGGCGGGTCCGACTCCACAAGTGTTTCCTGAGGCCACCAGGGGCTCAGCACGTGCCAGGCTGCAGGGACCCACGGACTAATTAGACAAGGTCCATGTGTGGTTCTCGGGCAAGAAGTAGAGTGGAGTGGACACTGCTGCAAGGGGCAGCCCACAGGACACACCTCAGGGACAGAGGGACCACCAGCCCCGCCTGGGGCCTCAAGAGGGCTTTCCTGAGGCTCTGAAGCCAAGGGAAGTGCAAGGCAAGGCAGAGCAGGTAGTGGGGGAGTCGGAAGGGGACGCGAAGCCTCAGGAAGCCTGGGGGCTGTGTGGCTGTGGGAAGGAGTGCGGGCTGAGGGTGGCTGATGTCTGAGCTTGGGGAGTAGCAAGCTGCGGAAGCCAGGCCCCATCCTGAGGGAGAATCCCGGCACCAGGTTAGAAAGAGCTCCCTGCGGTCAGGAGCATAAGGAGAGCCAGAGCATGTGAGCCCCAGGAGAGGGCTACGCTCCCCTCAGGGGACCTGTGACACTTTCCAGGAAAAGCAGAGGACAGGAAATTGCAGTGTGAGGGAAGAGCATCTGCAGTGGTCCAGAGCAGTCAGAAGACACATGGTGCACGGGTACTCTGCACTGTGAGGCTGGAGCACAGGCTCCACTTGGACGCAGTGGAGAACAAAGATACTGGATCAGAGGCAAGTGGGAAACCTGTAAGTGTCATCTGGAGTGCAGGGGTAGGGGCAGGTGATAGTCTTCCTGCCAGAGCCCGTAATCCACCATCTCTGAAACCGCCACACTTCCCAGAATGCTCCTGTGAGCCACCCTAGCCTGGGATCTGCCACACTTCCCAGAATGCTTCTCTGCACCAGCCTGGGACCCAACCCTCCCATCCTGGCCTCAGACCAAGGGCCTCCCTGGTGAGGGGCGGAGGGCTCAGTGGATGCATCCAAAGCCTTAGGTGATAGAGGGGCTTGGCACTCCTTTCTGCTGAGCTTTGAGTGCTGGTTACTTACCAATTGTGGAGCCTATGTTCATGGGCGAGATGCTGGGTGTCCTGGAGGATTCTGGGAATGCCAAGGAGGACAGGGTAAGAAGTCGAGCTAATGTCTTTCTCCCCAGATCCTTCTGAGATTCCAGGGCTCCCTAAACCCCTTTCTCTGCCACACACTGCACAGTCACTGAGGAGAGACAAAGTCAAGAGGCCCTACTTGCCCGCCCTGGACACGGGGCCAGACCTCAGTGGGGGGGGGGGGCACAGTGACAGGAGCTGGCGAAGGGGTGGCGCTGGCGGCAGTGAGGGGCTGGTCCCTTGCCCAGTGAGGCAGGGTGCACATCTGTAGCACACCTGAGTGCCCCAGTTCCTAAACCGCACACTGTGTTCCTGTGCGGCCGTTCACCTGAGAGCCTCGGAAGGCAGGACAGTGTACAAAACTCCACACGGCCGTTCTCGGTCACGCGCCAGCAGCCCCAGCACCGCCAGGAGTGTTTGAGATGTGGTGACCGGGCCCACCCCACCCTCTGACCCAGATGCTCTAGGGGCTCAGGAAGCAGTGCTGGAAGAGGCCTTGGGATTCCTAGGCCCACAGCAGTTTGAGGACCACAGACAGATGAAAAAGACAAAGAAAGAGACAAGTGAATCGTAAGTCAAGAAATCTTGCTGTGCGATGGTGCACAGCTGTCATCCCAGCACTCTGGGAGGCTGAAGCGGGAGGTAAGGTGAAACCCAGCCCGAGGAACTCAGCAAAACCCTGTTGCAAACTCAGAAAACAGAAAAAGTAGCTCAGTGCAAAGGCCCCGGGTTCAATCCCTGGTTTGAAGGAAGGAAGAAAGAGAGAAAAATCCATGTGCCTCCGTCCCCAAATGCTAGAATCTGCCTCGACTTACCTGTCGTGGAGGAAGGTGCCTGTGTGGGCGACTGGGTGGGGGCCTCAGAGGCTCCTGGGAAACCAGAAGAGGAGAGAAGTCAGGTGCTGTGTTGGCTGGGTCCTGAGGAAATGATGAAGCTGTTCCATGACTCAGTTTCCCCGAGTAGGAAATGGTACCGAGACTCTTACATCACCGACTGGGGGAGCGGCGGTGCCCTCCCTGGTGAGCCCGAGCTGCTTCCTGCCTGGGGAAGCCCAGCCCTGCCCTCCTGGTCCCTTCACCCTCGCTCTGCCCCTGGGAGCGGCCCGGCCCTTTCTCCTGGGAAGGAGAGGCGGGGACAGCAACCTCACTGTAAGTGTGGGGAGAGGGCTGGGAGTCACAGTGTGGGGAGAGGGGCATACCTAGGACACAGTCACAGTCCCTTCCCCCTGCACAGCCCCATTCCCATGCGGGACATCCGCTCACGACATCCCACCCACCGCAGCCCACGCCTCCTGCTTGGGCACCTGGTCAACCTTCCCTCTGCCCTAAGATGCAGTTGGAAGAGGCCTCCTCCGAGAAGCCCTCCCAGGCTGCCTCCCTTCTGGGCTTCACAGCAGTGCAAGCTCCTAGCACATAGTGCTCGCCATAGTCACAATTATACCTGTGTGTCAGATGTATCCGTGATTAAAGACTGTCGGCTCTACCAAGCACTCGTGTGTGTGTGTGTGTGTGTGTGTGTGTGTGTGTGTGTGTGTACTGACAGGAAGTCCCAGCCAGTTCCTGTAGCACCAGCCTTAGCATCAATACTCTTTTTGTTTTTGAGAAACGGTTTGGATGAGTCACTAAGTTGCCCAGGCAGGTTTCAAACTTGCAATCCTCCTGCCTCAGCCTCCCAGAGTGTTGAGATTATAGGTGTGACTAACATGCCCAGGTTCCTTCTTTACTAATGTTCTTTCTATTCTATAACTAATTCAAATCAAAAATCTGGAAGTACCAGAAAATAGAAGAAAAGTAATAAAACTTCAATCCACAAATCCCCAAAATTGTTATCATTTCATGTGTTCATTTCCATTTTTCTGAGAAAACTGAACAATTAATTTTTGTTCAGATGGTGCCACTTCCCCAGTGTCACACAGAAGAAATATTAAAGGATAAAAATCCAATTTTTTTGGTAGTGGGGTTCGAACTCAGAACCTTGTACTTTCTTTTTTTTTTTTTGGTACCAGGGATCAAACTTGGGTCCTTGCGCTTGCACAGCAGGCAGTGAAACCACTGAGCCAAATCCCTGGCCCTAAAAATCCACTTATTAATGGTGGTTAGAAGATTAGAGAAGGGATAACTTCAAATTTTACTTTTGACAATTGTGTATTATGAGACTTTTAGAAATGCTACTTTGTAAGGAACAATGTGAGTAGCACGGACTGTCCTACCAGAAGCTCGGGACGTGTTTGGTTTGGCCGGCTGACATCTCAGGGGCGAGGCTCAGCAGCACCCGGCAGCCACGCTGTGCTCGGAGCTCCAGAGCTTTCTCATCTCACCCAACTGAAGCTCTGTGCTCGGCGAACACTAATCCTCCCCCTCAAACCCTTGGCCACCACGTCTGTAAGATTTTAACGACACTTCATGCCTCACGGGGCCTCACAGGAGTGGAATCCAGCAGTGTCTGTCCTTTTGTGACTCACTCATTTCACCTTAAGGGTCATCTGTGATGTACCATGTCAGAATTCCCCTCTTTTTCAAGACTGAATAGTATTCCTTCGCAAATATAGACCACATTTTCTTTATGATATATACTGTCCTTTCTTGAAAGAAACCCTCTTTTAAAATGATAACCATAATTAATAATGATGTGTATTTCACATTGCTTAAAGAATAGACTTTAAATGTTCTATTTTTAAAGAGACAGGTGAAGAAGCCAGGCCAGGTGGTGCATGCCTGTAATCTTAGCACTTAGGGAGGCTGAGGCAGGAGGATCACAAGTTTGAGTCCCATGTGGGCAACTTAGCAAGACCCTTCTCAGAATTTTAAAAGTAAAATAAAAGAGCTGGGGGTGTAGCTGGGTGACAGAGTGCTCCTGGGTCTGATCCCCAGTATAGCAATCAACCGATCGATTGATCGATCAAGATATGTGAGGTGATGGAAGTGTCAATTAGCTTGGTGAATGCATGGGCACATTGAAGTGCCACGTGATACTCACAAGTACCCGCAGCCATCTGGGAAGTGGAAACACAGACATTTAAAAAGCAGAAAGGACAGAAGTTTGCTGCATGCTAAATAGGAAGGAATCTCGGAAACACCGTGCTGAGGGAAAGAAACCAGTTAGGAAACCCACATCACATGCGACTGCGCTTCCGAGAATGTCCAGAAAAGGCAAATCTGCTCCCAGGAGAGAGCAGGTCTGGGGCCTGGAGCTGGGTGGGAACTGGAAATGGGAACCAGGGGCAGCAGGTGTGTCCAGGGCAGGGAAAACGAGCGAGGTGGGATTGCAGAGACTGCACAAGGCTGGGGACCCCTAAAACAGGCGAATTGGTGAACTTTAACACGCACGTTGCACCTCAATAAAGCTGTTTTTTAAGAGTGTAAAACATTTAGTGAGTAGTGACCTCACTAGCTAGACTTGAATGAAAATAAGGTAAATGTAAATACATTTTCATTTAACCCTGTACTAATTTTTAAATCAACTGACAACCCAGGCATGGTGGTGCACACCTGTGATCCCAGCACTCAGGAAGCTGAGGCAGGAGGGTCACTACCTCAAGCTCAGCCTGGCCAACTTAGTGACTTAGCGAGGAGACCTTGTCTCAGAATAAAAATTAAAGGGCTGGGGGTGGAGCTTGATGTGAAGGCCCTGAGTTTAGTCCCCAAGACCACAATCAATCCACTGATGACTGGGAGGAGGAGAATTCTCCCAGGCCTGGTAGAATTGTTAGCCTTCGCGATATCAAAACATTTTAAGAGGGACCAGGGGCTTAGTTCAGTGGTGCTGTGCCTGCCTCTCAAGTGCAAGGTCCTGAGTTCAATCCCTGGTACCAAAAAAAAAAAGTTTAAGAAAACTGGGTGGCTTCAAGTTCATGTGAAAGAACATAATCCTAAAGCAAAGGCGAGCGTGAAGTACCCATGCTAGGTCCTAAATTGCAGGAAAGGCCCCAGCAGCAAGCATTTCCTGTGTAGGACCTGGGCAGAAGGAGTCATTCTTTCCTGCAATAGTAGCAATTCTTTTTACTAAGTTTACTAAGTTCTGCAAGTTTTTTGTTGTTGCTTGTTTAAGGTTTGAACCCAGACTAGAAACGAGGCATTATTCTATTGTTTTTCTTAGTGTTCATACTCTGCAGAAGACAGAATAATGCCTCCCAGATCCCAAGAAACTAAAACTAGAAACTCCATTTGACCCAGCTCTTCCCCTCAAGGTGTCTCCCCGAAAGCATTAAAAACAGCATTTTGCAGTGGTCCATGCACGCCCGTGCTTACAGCAGCACAATTCGTCATAGCTAAGTCTCGGAAGCAGCCTGTATGTCCATCCATGCATGAATGTATAATGGAAATGTGGTTTTCACACAGTGTGGACTACTACCATGCCATAAAAAAGGATAAACTTGAGTCATTCATAGGACACCTTGAGACCATAATGCTAAGGGAAGTAAACCATATACAGAAGCTTAAATTCCATGTCATTTCTCTTTTATGAGAAACCCAAGGTACAAATAAATTAAAAAGCAAAGTACAGGATCTGTAATAGGAAACAGGGAGGTAAATCTTTTCCAAAAGCAAAAGGGCCAAGTGATGAAGGGAGGGGAGGAGGGGAAGGGACCTAAAAAGAATTGAGATGCCCTAGGGACATATACCAACTCCCCCATGACTGTCATCTTTATGTGCTGCACACATGGACTAATAAAAATTAAAAATTTTAAAACTGGAATTAGAAGACCAACTACAGGCCTCCCAGACACAGCTGGTACTAAGCCCCAGGCTGAGGGTGTTACTTCCTGTTGCCAAGGGAGTCTGAGCAGCTGGCGCGGAGGGGCGGCCCTGGCTTCCCCAGCGGGTGGGAGGCCAGGCCCCGGGCCTGGTAAGTGGGAGAGGCAGGCGGAGGCGGCAGAACCCGGGGCGCTGCGGCTGGCTTGGACACGGAGGAGGGCCCCAGCCAAGGAACCGGGGGCCTCCGGGCTGGAACCCTCCGGGAAGGAGACCCCGGAATCCCCAGAAGAAACACGACCTGCAGCCACCTTGTTTTCTCGCAGTGAGACCCGCGCAGACCACCTCTGCACCCCGTAGTACTGGGGCTGGGGCCCAGGGCCTTCCCGCTGAGCTACATCCCACCCCGTTCTTGTTTTTCATGTCCATGAAAGGTCTCACTAAGTCACCCAGGATGGGCTCCATCCTCCTGCCTCGGGACGACAGGAAGCAGCGCCCTGCCGGCTCGGGTTCAGACTCCGGAGCCGCGGGTCGTTCCCCTTGGCTGCACTGAGCCAGTGAGCGTGGTCGGACGGGGGCCGGCAGCCCTTGCTGTGCGCGCCTGAGGAGGGGAGGGAGGCAGGGTGGGAAGCTGCCCTCACCTGTGACCCTGAGCTCCAGGGGCTCGCTGGGCGCCGACCACAGGAAGGGGGCTGCGCTGGAGAAGCTGTAGCACCGGTATGTCCCGCTGTGGGCGGCCGTCACCGTGATGAGGGAGAAGTCGGCCCGGTACCACTTCTCGGGCCGCTTATGGGGCCCGGCGTCCCCCTCCTTGTACAGGGCGAACTGGTCAAAGCCGTACTGGGTCCGGCACTGCAGGGTCACGTCGCCCCCGGGGGACACGGCCGGGCTGGGGTGCGCGGAGAGCGAGGGCTTCCTGTAGACTCCTGGGGGAGAGGCCTGGGCTGCAGGGCCAGAGTGGGCGGCAGGAGCCACCTCCCGCCGGCCTGGCCGCAGAGCAGCGCCCGTCCTGGAGCCTGGGCTGGAGTCACCGCGCTGCCTCCTGGGGCCCTGGGGCCCCGAGACACCCCCACGTCTGTGCCGCCCCGACCTCTGCTACAGATGAAACTGTGTGCTTGAAATTTACTGAGAATGGAAGTCCCAAGTGTTCGCGTCACAAAGTTTCCGTGCTGAGGATTAAACCCGGGGTCTCTGCCCTGAGCCACACACGCACACGCGCACACGCACGCACGTTTCCAGTCCATAACTTGTCCAAGATCACAAGATAGTAAGTGGCAAAGCCGAGACTGGCGATCGCGGATTCCGACTCCCAGGTCTGTGCTACTGGGCATCTTGTCATCAGCATGGGGACCTGGGCCTGGCCCACAGGACGCCCCCAGTTGCCTGATCATTATGAGTCATTCATTCATTCAACAACTTTTTTTTTTGAGGCAGGGTCTCACTATGTAGTGCAGGCTGGAGTTGAACCCCCGGCGATCCTCCTGCCTCAGCCTCCTGAATGCTGGGACTGCAGGTGTGCGCCACTACACTCGGCCCAATTTTTAAAAATTTCTTAAGGAACTACTATGTGTCTGTTTCTGCTCTAACAAATAAAAATCCCATCAGACAGAAAAAAAATAAAGCATTCCCAAGATACATAGGTTGATGTGTGGCATCTGAGGTTGTGATGAGTGATATTTAAACGGGGTATGAGGGACACATTGAGAAGAAAGCATTTGGATCGGACCCAAAAGGAGACGATGGGGCCAGGCCTGCAGGTCATGGAGCCCAAGAGAGGCAGCGGGTACAGGGCCGAGTGAGACACTCTCCTGGCATGCAGAACTGAAGTTCCCCACGTGGTTAACACAGTTGAAAGCTTACTAAAAATATATAAAAGTAGATCTTTCAAATCCACATTATCCCAAGTTCAAATATTTTATGTACACCTCCTCCCTCCCCCAAAAATATTTAGTATCATTGTAATTCTGGGCTTTCATGGAAGCAAATCCAACAGTGACATTTTTAAAATCTACTTCTGGAAAATAGCTATTTAAAAATGCATCGAACCCAGGCAAGGTGGCACATGGCTGTGATCCCAGCACTCTGGGAGGCTGAGGCAGGAGGATTGCAAATTTGAAACCAAACTGGACAACTTGGCAAGATGGGGTCTCAAAATTTTTTTAAAAAAATTAAAGGGCTGGGGATATAAGTCAATGTGAAGGTGCTGGGCTCAATCCCCAGTACCACACAAATAAAGTAAAATAAAAATAAAATGCTCGGAACGAGGCTGGAGGGCTCACAATTGCCCTTGGTCTGGGCTCTGGTGCTTGGCCAGGCACTGCTGGTCTTGTCTTTACTTCAAACTGCGATCTTTTGTTCATCGTGGACATTTTTGGATCGATTTCGATGTTTGAAAAAAGTACATGAAGATGATAGCTGTTGATTAAAGAGTGTTTGGAGGCACCGGCCCCTAAATCCCATACTCAAGGCCACTGCCCGCCAGACCCAGCCCTACGAGATTCAGGGTCTCTTCCCAATGCCAGCCCCATGGGATGCGGGGGTTTGCGTCACCCACACCCCACACTCTCTGTCCAGACACAGAAATGAGGCCCACGTGGCCTGGGCTCCCAGTGGGCTACTCTCCGTCCCCCCCCCATTACCAGTAGCAACCAGCTCCAGGTTGTCGCTGGGCAGCGACCAGCGTGACCGGTTCTGGTAGGAGCAGCGGTAGCGTCCAGCGTGGCTGGTCTTCATGGCCGGGATGAAGAGGTCGGCCTGGTCCTCATACCTCCTGGACCCCAGTTTCTCCAGGCGGTACAGGTCCACCCTCGGGGGCCCCCGGCACCGGATGGTCACCGACTTCTCCAGGGGCACCAGGGAGCTGGGCAGAGCCTGCAGGGAGGGCTTGGGGAGGTGGCCTGGAGGGAAGCAGAGCCTGAGATCAGGGCAGAGCCCCAGGACCCGGCACTGCGCCACCCGAGGGCTGGCCCAGCTGAGGGACAGGGGCTGGGGAGGACTCACCACCTTGCACCTGGGTAGCCTGCCCCAGACACAGCCCTGGGGAGAAAACAGAGCGGCCGCTGAGTCTCGGACAGCAGCTTTGTGGGCATCCTCCTCCTCTGTCACCACCACTGCGCTTTCCCCAGTGACACCCACAGGTGTATTTCAAGTGAAAGAAGCCAAGTCATAAAAGGCCAGCAGCGCGTGATGCCACAGACATGAGGTGTCCCGAGCGGGCTGCTCGGTGGGTTTGGAGTTTCCTCCGGGCAGGGAGTGTGCTGGGCCAGATAGGGCCGGGCCCACTGTGGTCACAGAATGCCACTCATGGTGACCATGCTGTGTGCTGTTACCACAGGGTCTGCTCCCTGCCTGCAGCGCCCAGGATGGACGAGGCCCTTGTGCACAGCAGGCACGCTCTGCCCCGAGCTAGCCTTCCGGGCCTAAAAATATGTCTGAAGCCCAGCAGGGATTCCTTCCTTACTCCTCCCCAAGACCACACTTTGGGCCAGGTTAGTTTTCCTTCTGAGATCTTTGTATCACATCATTTTTTAAAATGCCTGTATGCTGTGGGTTTTTTGCTTTTTGTTCTTTGTTTTTTGTTTCATGAGACAGGGCCTTGCTATGTAGCCTAGGCTGGCCTTGAACTCACTGTGTAGCCCAGGCTGGCCTCAAACTGGCAGTGATCCTCCTGTCTCACCCTCCCGAGTGCTGCGATTGCAGGCATCCCTGCCTCAAAATGTGTTGTATTTTTGAAAATGACAGCAGATTTAAAGTGTTCTCACTATCTTAAAAATTAGCATGAGAGGTCATGGACAGGTTACAAGCTTGGTCTAGCCTCCCTACAATGTGCAGGAACCTGGAAACACCATGCTGCACACTATAAATTATAAAATTTGTATCCATCAATTTTTTTTGTTTTTTTTTTTTTTGGTACTGGGGATCGAACACGGGTCCTTGCACTTATGCAGCAGGGAGCGAAACCACTGAGCTAAATCCCCAGCCCCGTATCCATCAATTTAAAAAAGAGATCATCAGTCCTCTCCTCTCAAAAATGACAGAAAGCAGGGCCAGGGATTTAGCTCAGTGGTTTTGCCACCTGCTGCGCAAGCACAAGGACCCAAGTTCGATCCCCAGTACCAAAAAAAAAAAAGATTTATTTTAAAGTGTGGAGCTGGCGGCAAAATTCTTTGGTTTGTATTTGAGTCCTTGGTGTGTGACATGCTGCTTAGCCTCTCTGTTTTCGTATCTGTAAACGAGGAATTATAGGCGCAACCTCATCAGGCTGTTGGAGATCGAGTTGAGGACTTTCGTTGTGGTGCTGGGGATCTCACCCAGTACCGACCAGGGGTGCTCACCACTGAGCTACATCCCCTGCCCTTTCAATGTTTTATTTTGAGCCACGGTCTTGCTCAGTTCCCAGATGGAAGCTGAACTCGGCATCCTGCTGCCTCAGCCTCCCTGCTCCCTGTGCTGGGATCACAGGCACGCACCACCAAGCCCAGCTAGTGGGGGACTGGTTTGCTCCGCTGCTCCAGGGGACATTGACAGACTGTGAACTAGTCCTGGAATCGTCAAGCCACGGGAAAGGAAAGCGCACAGCCGTGGGGTAGCAGAGAGGAGCCAGGCTGAGACGAGACACCTGTGACGCGGAGAAGCTGGGCTCAGTCAGACCAGCCCCGCCGCCCCGCGCGCACCTTTCCCAGAGTCCCCTCTCGCCCTGAAATTCATGGTGCGACATTTTAAACTCTGGCCTGGTCTGTTTCCCCGGCGACCTCAGGACTCACCGAGGCAGAGGAGGGCGGTCGGGGGTGGGGACATGTTCCTCAGTGCGGAGCTCCCGCTTCGAGAGCGCAGGGTGCAGGATTGATGAGGGTGCGGAAGGCTCCCGCCCCGTCCTCGCGCTCCTGCTCCCCCAGCCGCTTTTCCTGGCTGACTGCAGGGGGGGGGGGGGCTGCCCGCAAGCCCAGAGCCCGGGCGGTCTCTTATCTGCTCCCCCAGCCTGGTGCCCTCCATCCTGCGCCGGGCCAGGGCCTGTGCCTCCCGCTCCCACAGAGTGAAATGCAAACGCAGGCCCCAGGGCGACCTCACTTCAACGCTTATGAAGGTGGCTACCAATTTTTAAAGATGGAAAATAACCAACATCGACGGCTGGTAGGACTGTGACCGGGGCGGCTGCTGTGGGAAACAGCCCGGGGCCGTGTGGGAGATCGCAGAAGAAATCAAGAAGAAAAAGAGTTCCTAGAATCCAGGGACAGGAATTGCAATGTACGGAAACCCGCGGGTCACAAGGACAGCAGTCCCAAGGGGGAAACTCCCAGCTGTGCCACACACTGATCCCCAGAAAGTGACCTCAGGCAGGATGCGACGCAAGGTCCTGACAGACAGGAACGATCCAGATCTGAAACTGGTGGAAGGAAATTAGAAGATCAGAGCAGACATGAATGAAATTGAAGCTAAAAAAAATACAAAGGATTGATAAATCAGCCTTGGTTCTCTGAAAGGAGGAGGAGACGGGAGAACAGGAAGAGGAGGGGATGTGAAGGGACCAAAAGCCACGTGTGTGGGATCCAGTTTCCTCCCAGTGATCGCATTTACTATTTACTGAAAGCAGGGCCCATCACTCTCTGATCCAGAAACCCCGCTTCTGGGTTGGCCCTGAGGAGCTGAGGCAGGGTCTCTGGGCATTTGCACCCCATGCTCATAGCAGCATTGTTCTCAAGAGCCCAGGGTAGAAAGAGCCCGGGTCCCCATCAAGGGGACAGCAGATGCCCAAGAGGAGTGTACGGATACCATGGAATCCATGGAATATGCCTCAGCCTGTCAGAAAAGCGCGTATTTGTGATACACGCAACACCTTCTTCCTCCTGTCTAATGAAAACCCTGCTCAGTGGCCAATCCTAGTTTTTATTTTTGAGGATCTCCGTACTGATTCCACAGCAGCTGTGCCATTCTGCATTCCCACCAACGCACACAGACGTGGAGAGGAGCTTCCACTTCCCCCACTTTGCCGTAACCTGTTAGTGAGAGGCAAGCCCAGCTCCCGCCCGCCATCCTGGGCAGGAATCACAGGAGAGAGGGGGCAGGGGTGGGATCTCTGGGCCACTTGAGGGCTCAGGCTCTGGTCGTAAGCTCAGCAGCTGGAAGCAGCTCATGGTGCATTGGGGGACGTGAGCTTCCTGGAGACAGTGGGAATTATCCACAGGCTGCATGCATGTTCCTTGAATCCCAAAGACCCAGGACAGGGCCAGAGCCAGGACCACTCCCTGTGTCCCTGCCCACCCTCAGGTGGTGACACTGCCATTAAATTGTTTGCATTAGAATTAATTTTAATTAGAAAAATTTATGGGGTACAGAGTGATACTTTTATACATGTGTACAGTGTATAATGATCAAGACAGAGTAGTTAATATTTCTTTTTTTTTTTTGCTTTAGGAGATAAATTTATTTTTGTTATAATTTAATAGCCCAGGTCACTCTTCAGGGAAGTTAACATTTCCATCTCCTTAAATTTTTTTTTTTTTTTTGGTACCAGGGATCGAACTCAGGACCTTGTGCTTGCAAGACAGGAGGTGGCACCACTGAGCTAAATCTCTGGCCCCCTTCTTAAATATTTTTTTAAATTTTGACTAACATGTAATGATTGTTCAGATTTATGGGGTACAGTATTATACTTCCATACATGCGTATTATTCATCTGGCAGAGAATTGACATCCAGGATATGTACAGAATTTTTTAGAACTTAAAATGAAAAACAAATACTCCAATTAAAAAGTGGGCACAGGGTATAAATGGATACCTCTTGGAAAGAGAAATTCAAATGGCCAACAAATAGATGACAAAATGCCCAGCTCCAGTAGCTGTCAGGGAAAAGCATGGCAAAGGCACCTCGAGATTCCCTCACCCGAGTAGAGCAGCCAACATTGAAAAGGAAAGCAACACAGAAGGGAAGGGCAGGGCGGGAGTCAGCACAGCTCCGGACCAGCACAGAGGGCCAGGGAGACCCAAGAGACTCAGCACAGACTTCCCTGTTCCACACCATGTGGGGTTCTTCGTTTTTGTCTTTTAAAAATTATTTACTCAAAAAACATTTTGTGATAGACGCAGATAACAGCAAAGTCAATTGCAGCAAAATAAACCTACATAAAATGTGTAATTTCATTAAGGTGCAGCTAAAACACCAGAATGGCACATTTCTCTATATTTTAAACCAGTACGCTGGTTTAACTCATTTTAAAACTGCTTTACTGAGATATAACTCACAAGCCATATAATCCACCCATGGTTCCTGACCCTCATCGTAGTCCCAACATCTGTGGTTTAACCTGTCGCTCACCCTTCACTCACTTCATTCCACTGCCACACAGCCCTGGGAAGCGAGTGCTGCTGGGCCCCACCTTCCAGGTGCATGGTTCTTCGAGCGGAAACTTGGGTGCTGAGGGCAGAGTAATTGCTTCCTCTGGCTTAGCCCTTGCTCACCCCGACCTAGGCAAAATCTCTCTCCTTTGGTTGAGCTTATGCCCCCTCAGTTCCCATGTCTTTTCTCCAGCTCCAAGAACAATTCTAAACTGTTAAAAGTAAATGAGATCAAAATATTTTTCTCTTTGGAATTTCTTTCCTTTAAAAAAATTGACAGATGAACATTATTTGGTACCTTGAAATTTATATTGTATTCTTTTTCTCTCCCTCCTCCTCTTCTCCCTTCTCCTTCTTCTCCCTCCTCCTCCTCCTCCTCCTTCTTTCGTCTTTTTTGTGGTGCTGGGGATGGAACCCAGGGCCTCACAGTGTCACCCCCGAGCTTCACATCCACCCGTGAATGCTGTTATGAGAAGTCCCATGATGGCATAGAAGCCATTCATCCACCCAGGGGATGCTGTGCCTTGTGGCCTCCCTGCACCTGCACGGGACTCTCGCCTGCTCCCAGCTCACTGGCCCTCACTGTCCCGGTGCTGAGCAGCCAGACTGTGTCCAAAACTCTCCGCTGCGCACATTGCTGAGCCCGGGGTCATCCCACACAAACCCTCACTGGACATGTGTGAGAGTGTGTTTGAAACACAGCCATGTCACTCAGCAAGCCAGCCACTGACCGAGCAAGTCACTGGCACAGCTGGAGACACCAAGTGTGAGGTGCATGAGGCTGCGGTTGGTGAACGCGGCAGGCTGCTTCACAGTCAGCTTTTCTTTTTTCTTTTCTTTTTTTTGGTACTGGGGATCAAACTCGGAACCTTGCACTTGCTAGGCAAGCATCGGAACCACTGAGCTAAATCCCTGGCCCTCATTCAGCTTTTCTCTAAATACAAACAGAGCCCTAAACTCTAAAATAACTGTAAAACTACAGTAAGCACACAAACCACTAGCACTGTCATTTATAATCACTGTGAGGCGTTATGTACCATACACAGTCCTGTGTGCTGTGCTTTTAATGACTGGCAGCGCACCAGCCTCACCACGGCACACAATTCACACCCATGCTGCAAGCTTATGATGGATGCGAATTTTTCAGCTCCGTTGTTATCTCATGGAACACCACGGTACGCACAGCCTGCTGTTGACCGAAATGCTGAGTCCTCAGCCAGGCACTGTGGTGCAAGCCTGGGACCCCAGCACTCTGGGAGGCTGAGGCAGAAGGATCAAAAATTCAAGCCCAGTGTGAGCAGTTTATTCTCTTGGCAAGGCCCTGTCTCCGAATAAATAGAAAGGCCTGGGGATGTAGCTCAGAGGAAAGGCCCTGGGTTCCATCCACAATGCTGCAAACAGAGCAAAACCAGAAAGTCGCCTTCTGTGGTAGGTGACTGAGTGTCCTTCACTCCATCGATGCCAAACTGCACTCCAGAGCTGTCACACAGGTGCTTGTCTCCCAGCAGAACCAGGGTCCCCACACCCCCAACCCAACCCGGGACCGTGGGACCTGTGATCTTCGCTGTTCCAATAGTGTGTCCGTTTTCTAGGGCTGCCGTTGCAAAGTGCCTCAAACAGGTGACCTAAACAACAGAGATCTGCTGTCTCCCGGCCAGGGCATCTGGAAGGCTGAGATCAAGATCGTTCCTGTGGAGGCTGGGGCTCTGCCAGCCCTATCGGATTAGGTGTCCGTGCTGCTCCGGGATCGCCTCAATCTGACCAGCTGTGTCTTTAAGGATCTTATTTCAAACTAAGGTCACATTCTGAGGTGGTGAAGATTAGGACTTCAAAATACAAGATGGGGCCTCTCACCCAGCACGGATCCCTGCAGAGAGCACCTCAGCCCGAGCGGGTGTGCAGCAAGGCGGCTCCAGACGGGTGGGTGCGAGCGAGACTCCCGAGGGTGTGAAGTAAGGGCATCCCAGGAAGGGGCCGTGGTTTAAAGTCATCACCGCGGAGTGGGAAGGTGCCGGGTAAGATCGCCTCACAACGATGGGGCGGAGTGGGCTCCCTCGGAGAGGATGAACTCGGGGTGAGATCGCCTCAGAACAGGTGAACCTGGAGCAAGATCGCTCAGAACACACTGGGGCAAAGCAGTGTTACTTCAAAACAGACAGGTGCGGGGTGGGATCACCGGAGAAGGGCGCTGAGGAGGATCACCGCGGAAGGCGCGGGCGCGGATAAGATCACCTCCCGCAGATGGGTGCGGAGTAGGACACTCTCAGGATGGATGGGTGTGGAGTAAGGTAGCCCCACTGCCGGAACTTCCCCTTCTCTAATTCCTAACAGTGCTGAGTTTCTCCTCCTTGCTCGTCCGAGCTGGGAGGACACTTTATGAACTATGCGCGTGATCGGGCAGCTGGCAGGTGCAGAAGCAGAATCCTACCCGGGCTCCACCCATCCTACCCAGGACCTGAGCCACCCCGCCAAGCATCAGCTCTCTTTCCCACCCCAGCAGCTGCCTCATTCCCCCCTGCTTCTTCCTCTCCCGACCCACACACGACGTCCCTGTGCCTCACTCCACCCACCACGTCCGCCTTCTCCACCTTTCTGTTGAAACTTAGTCAGAGCCTCGTGCTTCATACCAACACTAGCTCCTCTCCTCCTGTTCACATTTCCTTTTTTACTATGCTCTATTAATTCTTATCGCATAATCGAACTGGGGAACTTGTTAAACCTGTGGGGAAACCGTGAGTCGCCCATCGAACACCTTCTGTACACTCCTTGTCAACGTGGCTCGGCCCCTGTCCTATGGAGGCACCCATGGGGCAACGGAGGGCAGAGAGAGCTCAGGGCCTTAGCTGCCTTTCAGAAACCGCTTCCTCATTCTCCCACTACCCTGAAGGCTTCAGTTCTCGGCAGAGCCCGGGACACCGGACCACAATCCCGTTAGGAACTTCCTCCCTGCCTGAGCTGCGGTTCACTTCTCTTTTATTTTCATAAAGTTTACTACACATATCTGTCTGTTTGCAGCACTGGGGATTGAACCTAGAAGCTTCCCAGCCCTTCTGTATTTTAAAATTGCTGATGTTCCCAGACGGGGCTCAAACTTGTAAACCTCCTGCCTCCATGTCCGGAGTGCTGGGACTACAGGATGGCACACCATGCCTGGCCTGTTTTATGTATTTGATGTATCCAGTCTGATGTTTGAGATGCAGCTAGACAGTGAGCGGTTATCATAGTGAAGTAGGTTATATCCATCATCACACATATCTTCCTGTATGTGGCAAATGCTAGTAAATTGCGTTCATTCAGCAAAACTCCTAGCCACAATAGATACGTAGAGTCAGCAAGCTGTGCATCAGCTCTCTGGGGCTGTTCATCCCATGCAGTTGCTGTTTGGATCCTTTGAACAACACCCTCAGGTCCTCCTCAGCGCTGCTCCTGGTAAATGCTTTCATTCTCTCTTTCTGTGTACCTGACCTTCTTGTAGGATTCCATGCTTAAGAGATAATGCGTTGTCTGCCTGTCTGTGTTGGGATCATCTCTCTTGGTCTATCATCCTCAAGATTCACTCACGCTGCAGCACGGCAGGACTTCTTCCTTTACAGAGGCAGAACAACATTACCCTGTGTACATGGATATATTCATCACCACTTTATCCACTTTTCCATCCAAGAAGGAGCCAATAAGAACTCAAACTCGACTGTGGAAAAAATAAATAACCTTATTTGGTTATGGGCAAAAGACCCCAATTTTATTTATTTCTTCAAACAAGTTCTAAAAACGGCCAACAGGTATACGAAAAGGTGCTCGACATCACTAACCATCAAGTGAACATAAAAGAAAACCACTGGGACCTGACGCGCCCGTCAGGTGGCTGTTACAGAAAAAGGAGAAATAACAGGTGCTGGCGAGGGAGTGGAGAGGGAGCCCTTCCACAGCGGGAGTGTGCACTGTGCAGCCGCTCTGGAAAACAGGAGAAAGCACCTACAGAAACTAAAAATAGAGGCACCGTACTTCCCGAACATGCCAAGCAAAAGGAATCTCTTCCTCGTAAACACACCGTGCCACATGCTAGGGCAGCATTAATCACAGCACCAAGCCACGGAAACACACACCACTCCTCCTCGACTTCCACTAGGCCTGGGGCTCTCCTTGGCCACGCCTGCATGGTGTGATCAGAAGCCCAGAGCCCTTTGCGTGTGCTCCCCAGCTGCCCCCCACACCCCGCGGGCTGGGTACCAGGCCTGCCTCCTGCAGCAATGCTGAGCTCCTTGAGACCAGCAGCCCGGTCTTCTTCATCTCCATCTCCACCCCTTGAGGGTCCAAGGAGAGAGTCGGCTTCTGGAGACACGAGGTGGGTCTGCAGCCTGAGAGCGAGTGAGCGAGCGAGCGAGCACACAAGGAACCTTGCTCAGAGGCCCAAGAGGGCAGAGCCACAGGACTCCTCACTGCTGACGAAGTTCTCTCTACTTGAGTCTCTGAGGGGCTGGGAGCCGGTAGATGGCTGGGGACGGGGGCAGGACCCCTCTAGGAGCCAACCTGGCTGAGGAGCTCCTGCCCACAGCCATGCACACCGCCAGCCCAGCTGCCCCTCAGGACAAGGTGAAGGTGGCATACACACAGGGCTGCGTGGACGGCTCCTCAGGCTCACAGGAGGGGAGCAGGGCAGCACTCTCCCTGAGCCCCTCTGGCCACAGCTGGGCGTAGGTCACCTCCCTGGGGTCCTCAGCCATGGAGACCTGCCATGCAGAGGCAAATCGTGGAGCTGAGCCTGGGTGGGGGCTGGCGAGAGAGGAGGTGGAAGGAGTTGCTCACCTGTGTGTCCCTCTGTCCATCTGCCTCAGGCTCAAGGTCCTCCAAGATACCCTCTGCAAGGAAAGATGAGCGGGCAGGCGACCTGCACAGGGGTGTCTAACCCCGCAGCCCTGCGCTCCCACTTCAGAGCCATCACAGCAAGGTGGCGGCATCTATCAGCCTCTCTGCTTGCCCCCGGCCACCTCCCAGCCACCTGGAAGGTCCCCTTTCCCCATCCAGGTGGCCTGTGCTGCTCAGGCCCCTACCTTTATTGTCTCCCTGGATCTGCATGCATGGGCCAAAGCTGAGGGAAAGAAGACATAAATGTCAATGTAGGTCCAGAAATCGTAAAAACTTGGATTTAAAAAACATGGGGGTCTGGGGCCAGTGATTTAGCTCGGTGGTACCATGCCTGACTTGCAAGCATAAGGTCCTGAGTTCAATCCCCAGTACCAAAAAAATATATATATGGGTACAAATCCCCCATACCTCCTCTGGCTCTTGGTCCCGTGGTGAGCAGCCCCTACAGAGAGACAGTGATCAGCCTCAGGCTGCCCGCCCACCCCACACACCTCCAGATGGACCCTGCACCCGGGACATACTGCGTTTGGCCCGACGCCGGCAGAGGCAGAGGAGGAGCAGGAGCAGGACAAGGAGAAGGAAGGCAGCAGCAGTGGAGGAGACCACAATGACAGTGGGATGGGCTGGACCTGGGGATGAGCAAAGGGGAGAGAGCTGCTGCTGAACCCTGGCGGATTAATCCAAGGAAGCACTTGTGAGTGTTGATCTTATACCAAGTAAGTTGTTGACTGCTTGCGAAACTGTAGCAAACCTACCCAGCCAAAACAATCAGGGCACTAGCTAGACAAGTTATTACTCAGCGGGGTGAATTCCATGAGATGATTGAATGCCACCGGGGAAGATTTACTCGGACACATAAGCCCCAAAGGATAAGAAGGTGGGAGCGGCACACAGGTGAGAGGCAAAGGTGAACGGGGCCAGAGGAGCACGATGCTTCCACATGCACGTGCGGACCCCAGGGGCTCGGTCCCCGTCAGAACCTGGAGGATGAAGAGTCCAAGCGCAGCAGGGGCTGCAGAGGGACTGGCAGGCGGTGAGTGATGTGCTGCTTTAGGCCAGGGCTTATACACTTAAGGGAAATAACTCCGACACACAGGCTCAAATACCACATGGGTTCTCTTCTGGGAGAACCAGAAGGGTAAATAGGGACCAAAATGTATACTAGGTATTGGGAAATAGGAAGAAAATATTCCAATGGGAAGGGGAACTAGGTAGAGGGGAGGGGGAAAGGAAGGAAGGAAAAACGAGACTAGAAGGAAAAATAGAAACAAAGCTTTTGTGCATAAGGAGGAGAATAGGTGTTGAAGGGAGGGGAAGGAAATGGAAAAAAAAGAATGAAGACAAATCATGTACAGGTGCAAATTCCCTTTGGTGAATGTGATCATTATGTATATCTAAAATGTACCAATGAAATTAACTTTAAAAAAATAGTAAAAGACTGGGTTTTATGGGTGATGAGTAGATTTAAGAGGCCAGGTGGAAAGAGCAGATACTCAGGGACCAAGCTGCAGGTGGCTGGTGACAGATAATCTTGGCACGAGAAGAACCAAGAAGGCCTGGGCTTGAGAATATTTGAGGACAGAAAGGAGGAGATCTGAGGGGTGGGCACTGAAGGGAAGGACATTGATGGACACAACTTAGATAAGGAAGCTTAGATGAGGTAGCTGCTGGGATGGAGTCACAAGATGCAGAGGAGGTGGGGAAATGTCTCCTTGAAGAGCCTTGTGGAGATGCTGACTGGGTGCCGGAGTGGATGTCAGACATTCCACTGGAGAAAGAACACTGAGGTTCACCGGCGCATTTCTGGCTGGGGTGAAAAGATCAACAGCCATCATCAGATGACTGAATGAGCTCAGACCACCCAACACTCCTCCACTGACTTCAGCACTGCACATTCCCTTCTCTGTGCCATCCCTGACATGTCTTCCTGGGGTTCCTGCCTCCTCCTGTCTGTCCCCTGTCCTACCCAGTTTCCTAGGGTTCCTACAATGCACCTGGAGAGCCATCTCACAGCTCTGAGCTCTGGTCCTCTCTTCTCTCCCTCAACCCTGAGAAGCCCCAGCTACATGGAAAAGCTGAGGTGTGCAGAGCTCAGCCCCATCCACCAGTAAGGCAGGAGCTCTCACTTCTTGCATGACTCCAAAGGATCATGACCATAAATCCATCTTGGGAATCCTGCCATGACTGTCTTGCTGCATTCTCCACTGTCCTGGTGGCCAAAAGACATCACTGTGGTCCCAGCATCATCCCACAAGGGTGCAGGGGACACAAAGACATACAAGCTCATCAAAAATGAAGACCCTGGGAGAGGCCCCTTTAATATTCCTGTCGCCAACAGCTGGTGATGCTCTTATGTCTCACATACACACAGAGAGGGAGCCAAGGAGGGGCTACACAGGCAGCATCTGAGGGGGATCACTACTCACATGGACCCCAGGGCTATCGCCAGATCACACATCAATTCTATGACAAGGTAAAGATAGCTTGCCAAAAAACAACTCACTTGGAGTGCCATAAATTGTGGTAACGAATGGAGATGTTTGAGGTCTATGAGTCAACAGTAGAGGTTTAGAGAGGACAAGCGACACAGTGCACAATAACACTGACAACAACAACGGTAACAACAGACAGAGTGCACCTGAGATGCCCCAGATTCAACACCTAGAGCCTGCCCTGAACACAAAGTAAAGCCACTTACATGTGACAGAGACCACAAGGGGGTCGCTGGGCAGAGTCCAGAGATAGGAGCTGAGGTCAAGAGAGCCATAGCACACGTAGGTCCCGGCCTGGCCCAGGCTCACAGGGGAGATGAGGAATGAGCTGTGCTGCTGCCGTGAACAGGCCTGGGGGAAGGAAGCCCCGCCTCCCCTGCACAGGAGGTAGGAGTCATAGAGGTACAGCGAGTGACACAGGAGAGTCACGTTTCCTCCTGAGGCCACCTGGGGGCCTCGGACAGCAGTCAGGGAGGGTTTGTCATTCTAGACACCTGGAAGGGAGTAGAGGCTGATGTTAAAATCATTATTGAAATACCCTCACCTTTCTCATGGCCTGAGCGAGGGCAGAGAAGGTGAGAAGAAATTCACAGCACACTGATGTGTAGGGATCAGAAGGATGAAAACTAAGCTCCCTCCTTTCTGATTTTGCATGAACCCAGACCAGAGAGGAGCAGGTGTCTGTCCCGTGAGGGGCCTCCTGGGGACCCCAGCCGCCTCTCTGAGGGAGCAGGGACCACAGGCAGCACAGAGGGAGGTGGGAGCCCGACAGCTGGGGCAGACATGGGCCAGGGCCTGGGTGGGCACATCGGGTCCAGTGAGGTGGCAGCAGAGAGCCAGGCCGGGCAGTGTCCCTGGGGTCCTCACCTGTCACCATCAGCTCCAGGGACTCAGTGCATTCTGACCAGATTTCTTTCTTCCAGTAATGGCAGTAATAGACCCCTGCCATGGCCTGTGTGACCCCCTGCAGGGAGAACTCCACCATCTCCTGGCCTCCCTCTAGATGCCTGTCATACGGCTCTCCTCCGGGTTTGGACTGATGCAGACGCAATGAGGTGGTCCCTGGAGGGCCCCTGCAGAAGATGCTCACAGGCCTGCCATGAGGAATCACAGCTCCGGGCACTGCCCAGATGCAGGGCTGGGAGGATGAGCCTGGAGAGACACAGACGAGATCCCAAAGACTGTGAGGTAAGCAGCGCCCTGCTCCTCCTTCCCGGGGCCCTGAGGCTGCTAATGCTGGGGCTATGGACAGGGTCCAGGACTTCGCCGTGCCCTGGGCGTGGATCCAGCCTGCTCCCTAGCCTGACAGGGGACTCCAGGCAGGTAGCCACTCCTGTCCTTCACCTGGGAGGGGAGAGGCTATGAGGCCTGAATACATCGTCAGCAGGGACACCACCTGCCTGTGACAGGAGCCCTTCCTCTGGCTTCCAGGAGTGCACACGCTCAGTCCCCTGGATTGGCAGGCGCTGTGCCCGGGCCCATTCCTGTCATCTCTAACACCCTCCTGTCTACAGAGTGTCTGGGCTCGTGCCTTCAACCTCTCTCTCATATATGCAGAGTCTGCCAAAGAAATGTACACACACTTCAGCAGGTGGCTGTACCGATAAATGTCTGGAACCTCAGGGCCACCACTTAGAGCAGCTCTTATAGCTACAGAGGCCAAAGGTAACTGGGATTAATCTCATGATGGCTCAATCAATTAGGTGCTAAATGTTTACACAAGTTTTTCATTTCCTGACGTGCAAATACAATTTTTGACAGACTATATATAATATATATAAATATACTCCTCTCCAACAGATGCCTATCTATCCACCATCTGACACCTGGCGATCTGTTTATCTACCCATGGATCTACCCACCCATCTACCATGGGTCTCCCACCTGCATCCAGCATCTGTGTGTCTCTCACTGTGTGAGTGCATGTTCATGTCCGTGTCACACACACACACCTGATCTCAACAGTAGTTTAGTCACCTCCGCTGAGTTCTAAGTAACTCTATGCCAACCTAAACCCCTGCATACTCACAAAGACCTCACCCCTCCTTGCTGTCCTTGTCCATGTAGCCACCGCCGTCTTTCCCTAGCACTGCACTGCTGGCTTCTCCCTTCTCCTCCCAGCCTGGGAAGGTCTCCTGTGTGTCCACCTTCCCCTCACCTCTGCTGCCCCTGCTGGCTTGGGCCCGTGGACATTGTATCTCCTTGAGCCCCTCTCCTCTGGCTTCCTTTATCTTCTCCCACATGAAACCCAGCCCCTTTCCCACCCCTCCGCACCCTGGAGTCTGGGACCCTATTTAAATGTGTCTGTCACCTCTGTGCTCTGTCAGCAGCCTGGGCACTCTGCTGTCACTCAGGGAGACTTGGAGCATGGAGCCTGCTCCACACGGCTCTGGGGCCCTGACTGCATGCCTCATCTCGTCCTCATGCATCCCCAGCACTGCGCACGCTCTGCCCACAGCCATGGCCACAGACACAGCAGCACAGCCAGCTTCTCCCCCAGCACGGGTCCCCAGATGTCTCCAGTCCCTCCCCTCAGGACACACATCTATTGTCACGCAGTACCGACAGTGGTGACCTCTGTATCTGCCCCCAACACACACTCCATGACTTTCCAAACTGTACACTTCTCCTCACATCCTCTTCCTCCTAACACATCACATGTGTAAATGACTCAATGTGTTCACACTTCTTTCCTTCAGATAGAGGCCACAAGGGTTTCTGGGTGTCTGCATCACACACAGCAGTGTTGGGGTCACAGGCAGGCCCCATATACCTGCATCAAGTGGGAATGAACATAGCTTCCTTGGGAGCAAGGAGGAGAAATCAAAATCATATTACACTGAGCTGAAAATACTGCCTACCGTGGGGAAACAGGAGTACAATGAACATTAACAAGCAGGTATAAGAGGAGGAGCAGGGCATTATCCCTCACACTACATGGATTCTGTCTTCACTGTGGCAATGTCAGGTGATTTTATGATTTGGGGAAAAGGAACCAGGTCTCAGAGGCAAAAGGTAACTTGAAAAAAAGGACAGAAGTGACACACACTGAGGTCTACATTTTACTTCATATCTGACTGGGACATGGGAGCCTCATCTGAGCTGACCTGTCAGAGAGAAGAGAGGTGGAAGCAGCCCATGGGACAGCAGAGACCATCCAAAGAGTGAAGACCTAGTGCGCAGGGGCTGGGGATCCGGGCATGAGTCCCCAGCTCTGCGTCTACTCTGCAAGGTCCACCCCACCCAGGCTTCCTGTTGACACCGTCAGTGCCCAGGATGGTCCCCACCCCAGCACGATTCCTCACTGCAGATGGACAGGGAAGAGTGTGGCCGGCAGGGCAGAGCAGGGCTGGGCTGGGCAGGCTCCTCCTGGTCAGCTCAAGACCCTCAGGCTCCTCCCACCCTGGCCGGGCCTCACTCAGAGCCCCAGGACTGAAGGGAGGGAAACTCACCACTGTGGGCCCAGAGCCTCTGGTCCAGAGCAGACACTGAAGCACAGAGATCAGGTGAGAGGCATCTGCCTGGGACCCAGGGACCCCCAACCCTGGGCTCAGGACACCAGACCTGGGCCCAAGGCCTCAGGGGTCTCATTCTCACCCCCTGGGCAGGAGCACACAGAGGAAGAGCCCTGAGAGGGGCCCAGGGCATGGACCCAGCGTCTGCATTCTTCACGCCTCCCACTGCCCTCCTCCCTCCCCTGCTGTGCTCACCAAGTCCAAGCAGCAGAGCCATCCCAGGGGGCATGGTGCTGCCTCAGCCCAGGTCTGCACACCTGCTCTGCTGGCGGTCACACCAGCACACGGGGGACCCACCAGGGGATGGGCAGCCTGGGCCCCGAGTCTGTGTCACAGGGTGATGGATGAGCTACTAAATGGGAAGGGAGCTGCTCTTGCACAAGGCCGAGCTCTGTCCCTAAGCCTCCCCCACACCTCTAGGCTGGGTCTCAGTTCCTCTGTGGGTTTCCTGCTCTGAGTTTGCAGCAAGGAACTTTAGGAAAATGCATGCGTGTGCTATGCACTGGGATCTGCACATCTGTGTGAGATCTGCAGCAGGATTTACAGAGAAGAGGTGAAATGGAGCGAGAAAGACTGAGTCCATCTGGGGAATCACCTGGAGCAGTGTAGGATGAGTGGCCTTCAGCAGACACCAAATCTGAGAACATGGAGGAGGAAATACAGGGCCACGGAAGGCGGCTTGGTTAGTGTTCTGCAGCAGTCCGGCGGTCTGAGGTCTTCCTGACCCACGATGGAACCTAGCGCTCACAGAGGACAACTCTATCTCGAACATAACATGTGCTAAGAAGAGAGCTCTCACAGTTTCACACAAAACTACCAAAGCTGTAAGGACAGCAGAGGGAGAGGAGGAACTCTGGAGGGATGGACACGCCCTGTAGAGTGAAGAGGGCGTCAGCCTCCATAAGAAAAGGCACAGCTTCATATCTTGCAGTGACTCCTCAACAAGCTGTTTAAAAACAAAAACACCCCATGACTCACTGCTCCCAGTGACCAGGTCTTCTACAGAACGGCTCCTCATCTTGGGTCATTTAGAATGGGAATCTGAACTCTGTTGGGATGCACGTGAACCTCCCTGTAACTGCAAAGTATGTGAACTCCCGAGTTCTTGTGGATGTGGAGGGCCACACGCTGGTGGATCAAAGAGGCTTCGCTCACCTAGAGCCTCCTCCAGGGGACCCAACTCCTGAGAACCCCCTGCTGTGGCACTTTGGGATCAAGCAGCAGGGCGACATCCACCATGGACGCTGGACTCGCTGAGGGGCACTCGGACCCTGAGTCCCCAAAGCTCATCCCCACTCACAGACCCCGGACTCGGGCTATGTGGCAGCTCCGTGAGGGTCCATGCATGCTCAGGTCAGAGTGGGGACCTCTGGGCTGCTGTCCCTGTGCCCCCTGTGAGGAGCCAGCCTGGGCCACACTCTAGGCCCATGCCCTCCAGGAGTAGCACCCAAAGGCAGGGATGCCCCATCGGCGCTGCACCAGGAGAGCAATGCCGGGGAGAAGCCACAGGCCTGAGCTCTATGCTGAGCCTGCACTTTGAATCCCAGAGCACAGCCACCAGCAGGAGCTGTCACCTCCCCTTCCCTGCAGCAGCCACCACCATGGGCACTGTCGCTGTCCACACCCACCCTGCCCAGCCTCCGCCTGGCCACAAGCAAAAACAGGCACCACTGCAGCACGACCTCAGCCAACCCAAAGCCGCTCACCCCATTGCCCCATTACAGCCTCCAGAGACTGGGCTGCTTTCTTCAAGTAACAACCAGTACCACTGCTTCTTCAAGAGCAGAAAGAGAGCCGCTGTGACCACAGAAGTGGTTCAGGATCAGGCACTGACTTGAATCATGGACCTGCAGCCCTTGGGGATTCAAGCTGGGCCAGGAAGCCACAGGAAAACCCATTTCTAGTCCATGGGTCAGCATGGCTATATCAGTGCCAGTATCAAATTTCCAAAATGAACGTGTTTACTGTTTCTCAAACGTTACACCAATTAAAATAACAATTTTATTATAAAACAGTAACATAGAAATAATAGAACAAACATTGAAACTGTTGGAAGAAGACACAGGGGATACACGTGAAGCCATAGGCACCTGCAAAGTCTCCCTGAATAGAATTCCAGGAGCTCAGGAGATAATAGCAAGCTTCAAGGAATCCAGGTACATCAGACTTAAAATGCTGCTGCACAGCCAAGGCAACATCACTGGAGGGACAACCTACACAACGAGAAAAGGTTGACCGCTACTCTTCCAGTGCAGGACTAATATCTAGGGTATGCAAACACCTGAAACACACTGTCAAGAAACAACCCAGCCAAAACTCCACAAATGAGCTGAAGAGACACTTCTCAATAGAATTACAAATGGTCGACAAGTATACAAGAAATGTGTTCAACATTTCAGCCACTAGGGAAAGGCAAATCAGAACAACTGTGAGACTTGATTTTATCCCAGACAGTGTGGTTGCTGTCAGGAACACACAAGAAAATGAATGCTGGCAAAAATGTCGGGGGACATGAGCCCTCCTGCATGGTATGAGAAGGTAAACTAGTACAAATGCTACAAATCTCAGCATGGAGATCACACAAAAGGTAAAAGCTGAAATTTCCTTTGACACAGCCAGAACTCTGTGTGTCTTTCCCTTCACGCCACCCCGGTGAGAGGCATCTGCAATGTCACGATGGGAAAGCAGCTCTAACCCTCCTCTGCATCCGTGGTCCCTCCTTGGGTTTCCTGCCCTGACCTTACAGCCACAGTGACAAGGGAGATGAGTGTGACTCTGTCCACTTGGGGGCGCATGTCTGGGATCAAAGGGATGAAGACCACAGCCACAGCAACTGGAGGGGAAGTGAAGTGTTCACTGCACAGCACCGACCAGAAGGAAAAGCCCTCCTGAGGCCATGTTGCTGTGCTCAGCTGTCTCCTCCCCTGGTTCCATTCCTTGTCCATCTGGAAGTGTTTGGGGATCATACACGGCAAAAAACATGCAGATTGTGCTAAAGTCGCCCTTCAGTGAGGACTCATTTATCATCACCTCAGTCATTGGTCTCCCTATCTTTGGAACAAGTAATTATTATGTCACATGTTATGCTCAGATTAACACTTCTCCACCGTGTCTTCTTTTCATTACAAGAAAACTGAGCTGTAAGATGGAAGTTAACTGTCTTTATTTGGTTCTCTGCTTTCCTTTTTAAGTCTTGAAAATCTTTAAAATTTGGCCCAGTACTGCAAAAGCAGAACAACCAAATGCAGAATGGAACATTAAATTATTTATTGAAGCAGAACCTACTAGGGTTCACCTAATTATTTCCTTCCCTGTCCCCACATTTGGTGCCTCACGTCACCAGTCCCTGGCACAGCACCCTGAACACGGGATGAGACCGTCCTGCTTGTCGCTCTGACTGTGCCCGAAAGGACACAGCAGCATGAGGAGGGCCCCGGAGGTCACAGTTGGAAGTGCTGAGATGCATCCCATGCCAGTCCCAAAGCATCTTTAAGACTTCTGGCCTCTTACAACACCCTTCCATAGCAAACGATATTTTATTGTGAGAGGAAGTAGGGAATCAGCAGAACAGACCACGGCCATGGCCTGCATGGCTGAAGGATCCACGGAGTGAGAAATGATGGTGGGAGATTAAGAAAAGACAAAGAGACACAAAAGGTGGGACCAGGTGGGGCTCTTCCTCCTGATGGGAGAAAAAGACCCCAGGCAAAGGCAGTGCATTTACTTATAGTGGAGAGGTAGGGAGCTGGTCTGTAACAGGAGCCAGGAGAGTGGCTAAGGTCTGCAGGACCTCATGCTTGACGGTCTCTGGTGAATGGGCTGGGAGGAAGACAGTCCTCTTCTCTGCCAGGTCTTGGTCCACCACGCCCTCTTGTCGCCTGTTCTCCCTCCCGGCCCTGCCTCATTCGCGGGAGAAGGCGAGTTGAGCCTGGCTGAAGTGATCTACAGCACATCGCTCCCGGCAGACCACTTCCTGCTCAGCACAGCCCCAGCAGATCACAGCGTCAGTTCCACCTATCTCTCTCCCATCCCCGTGAAGCTCAGTGAGGTCCACGTGTTCACCAGGTTTGCACTTGGGAGGAAATGTTGATAATCTGAAAGCCGGCGTTCCTGTGGGGCAGCTCTGGCTGAGACTCGGTGCTGGGGGCGCTGGGGGTGGGGGGGTAACTAGGGAAAGGCCATGGTGAAGGATTGGAGTGAGGAATAGAAAACTGGGAAACAGAGGGAAGCCGACATATGGGGAGGAAAACCACGCAGATAAATGCAGAAACAAGAAAGAGATATCTGAGAAGAACATCAGAGAGGAGCTAGAAGACAAACCAGAGAAAGAAGACTCCGCTGCTTGGAGAATCCATCCACCAAGACTACAGATGTTTTTAATGTAGCTCTTCCTTTGTTTCTTACTGATGAATGAGGCTTCTACAACTTGAAGAATACAAAAGATACTTAGTGAAATTTCCTCGCATGAGAGTCATGAATTGGGGAAGGACTGAAATCAAGCACATACAAAAGTAAAAGCAGGTATGGCTATGGGATTAAAAATGGACTATATAGATTTTTCCTAACATGACATGGAAAGGCCCTGCAACGTTCACACTTTAATTTCACAACCACTGAGGACAGGTGTGTGTGTAACACCACACTGAGCACCACGAGGTTCCTCTACAGCAGAATCAACACTTGGTGAGTCCTGCTCCTCCTGGTGAGGGAGCCCCTTGCCTCATCAATGCGGAACACACAGACTTCCTAAGAGTCCATGCTGCTAGAGAACATGATCGCTGTTAATGCTGGAGTTGGATTCTGACGAAGCTGAAGCTGAAGAGGGGGGCAGTGTGGTCCCTTCATCCTGGGGGAAGGGAGTAATAAGGAGAAACTAGGGTGAGAGCTCTGATGTATGAAGTACAGAAAATTTGGAAGGAGGGATAGGAAAACAGTTTTACAAAGAAAGACTCACATAGACTAATGCAGGAATGAGAAATGGGCATCAGAGACCAATATCAGACACAAGCCAGAAGACAAACAAGAAAAAATACTGTGGTGTGTGGAGATCCATTCCTCCAAGCATAATTATAAAATCTCAAAGGAAATACTAATAAATAAAGAGCAAAATAAAGGTGGATACTAGGAAACAGGAAATAGATCTTGTGCAAAATGGATGGAAACAAAGAGATAAAAGAGGCCGGGGAGGGTAAGAAAAGGGAATTAAGATGTCTTGTGTGCATGTACCAACTGTTCACAAGGAGTGTAAACATGTGTACTGCAAACATGGACTAATGAAAACTAAAAATTGAAAAAACTAAAGAAATCTTGGGCTGAGGATTTAGCTCAGTGGCACTGTGCCTGCCTTGCAATCGCAAGGTCCTGAGTTCAATCCCTGGTACCACAAAAAAAACCCAAAAACTAAAGAAATCTCAAAAGAATTATGGGACTCTGTACCATCCTGAAATACTGAACACAGAATCAATGGATTGCATGTCTTTGGAGATTCTGTATTTCAGCATTTTGATGAGGACTAGAAAGGGTTAGCAAGTCTCCCAGCCAGGGCTCCCTGGCTGCATCTTACAGGTCTCCTCTGCTCTTCCAGGCATCCATCAGCAAAGCCATGAGGACTAACAGGACAAGGGCAGCCAGACTCAACTGGATGATATTCTCTGCTCTGTAATCTGGGGAAAAAGAAAAAGAACTGAGGATAAGGCCACCAGCATACAAGCTCTCCCCGAGGAACATGAAGGTCACATGTAAACCACCCAGAATCCAAACAGGATGTTGATTTGTGCAGCTGTCTCATCCACACTGTCACTCTGAACAGAACGTGCCTTTTTTCCATTTCAGGAATAACGGATACATAGTGGATCACATATCAAGGACACCCAGACTGTACACAATTGGAGAGTAAGACAAAGACCACAACTGGCTGCCTAATTCAAGAGCCTTAAAATGGTATTTTTTAACCCAAGGAAAGTACACAAGGTGCTAAATTTTCCCAGGAGCCTAGCCTTAGCAGTTAATTCAACCTAAACAACCAGGGCAATAAATACCACCATCAATGAACTGTCCCCAAAATAGGCACAAGATGGAAATGGAAATCCTGCTTCTGGTTATTTCTTGCCAAACCAAGATCAGAGAGAAGCAGCACAAATTTGGAGATACTACAACAGTGAAATATCCTCCTAGCAAGTTTTTACCCATGACCTTTAGTAGCACAGTGTCCTGGCAAAACTAGAAAAATATGCAGCGGCCATCCACCCCATATACTCTGCTTTTGAAGGACATGTGGCTTAACTACCTGAGGGTCCACACTTCTATGAGATGCTCAGAGAGAGTAGATTACTTAGGCTCAGACGTTCCATGCAAGGGTTGACCCCCATTCATCAGCAATGGAGATCCTGCAGCATTGAATTCACTTAACTAAACTTAGCACTACACAACAGACTAATATCCAAGGGCACAACTGCAAGAGAAGCCTGCCCCCTAAGAAGGCCTTCTCTTAAAAAATAAGAGATCCTCATTCTAGCAATTATATAAGTCTCTATGAAGAAACAAAAAATATATAAATAAACAAGGTAACATGACTGAAATAGAACAATACTTCTATAGGAGCTGAATCCAACGGATACCAAAATGGGCAAGATAACAGACAAGGGATTCAAAAGAACAATTGTAAAACTGATTGTCAAACTCAAAGAAGATACAGATAAAAAATTGAATGAAATAAAAATGACAATGCAGAATATGAAAGATACAGATTCTGAAAACAAAACAAAGAAAAAAATCATAGAAATGAAAAGTTCAATCAAATGAAAAAACTCGGTGGAAACTCTCATCAACAGACTGGACCAATGCCAGTCTTGGTCTGTGTAGGATTTTTGTGTCTTCTTCGTTTAGTTTGGTAATTCATATGAACCTATGAAAGTGTCCATTTCTTTGACATATCCTGATTTACTCCAACTTGGAATATGTTTTCAAAGTAGTTTCTTATAATCCTCTAGATTTTTGGTTGTGTCCTTTGCGGTTTGGCCTTTTTTGTCTCTCATTGCATTGATATGAGTCTCTTCCTTTCTTCTTTTGATAAGTTTGGCTAAGGGCTTATCAATCTTCTTTATACTTTCAAAGAATCAGCTCTGTGGTTCACTGATTTTATCTTTAACTGGTGGTTCATATGCAGAAAAATAAATCCAGATCCATATCTCTCATCCTGCACTAAAATCAAATCAAAATGTATCAGAGACCTAAATGTTAAAAAAAGAAACACTAAATCTGGTGGAAGGGGGCCAGGGATCTAGCACAGTGGTTCCACCACCTGCCTCACAAGCTCAAGATCCTGAGTTCAATCCCCAGTACAAAAAAAAAAAATCTGCTGGAAGAAAAATTCATAAAATTACTGAAGTCATAGGCATAGGCAAAGACATTCTGAACAGATTGCCAAATGCACAAAACAAAGAATTAACAAATGGGATCATATTAAATTACAAAGTTTTTGACCAGAAAAGGAATAAATCAACATAGTGAAGAGAAAATATACAGAATGGGGGAAAGTTTTTGCCAGCTACTCCTTGGACAAAGGAGTAATATCTAGAATATATAAAGAACTCAAAAAATTTGACATTCCCCAAAATAAAAGACCCAAACAAAAAATGGGCAATGAAATGAATAGACACTTATCAAAAGAGGTGCAGGGCTGGGGATTTAGCTCAGTGGTTCTGGCGTCTGCCTCAAAAGTGCAAGGTCCTGAGTTTGATCCCCGGTACCAAAACAAAGAGGTGCAAATGACAAATGAGTACATGTAAAAATGTTCAGCACCTTTGGCCATTAGAAAAATGCAAACTGAAACAACACTGAGATTCAGTCATAATTAAGAGCTCAAGCTGCATGTGGTCAGATGCACCTGTAACCCCAGCAATTGGGAGACTTAGGCAGAAAGACTGCTGTGAGTTCAAGGTCAGCCTGAACTACATAGCAAGACCTTGTCTCAAAAGAACCCAAGAAAAAGAAATAGAACTCAAAAAACAGCAAACTAAGTGAGGTTGTAGGGGAAAAGGAACCCTTCTACATTATTGATTATTGGTGGAAATGTAAATTAGCACACTCATTATGGAAATCAATATGGATATTTCTCAACAAAGCTAAAAGCACAAATTTTATTTAACCCAGCTATACTCATTCTGGGTATCTTCCCAAAAGAGTTAAACTTATCATATTACAGTGATGCTTATATAACCATGTTTATAGCAGCACAATTTACAATAGCTACATTTTGGAAATGGCTTATATCCCCATCAACAGATGGACAGATAAAGAAAATGCAGTACATGAACACAATGGAGCACTATTCAGCAATAAAGGATAAATTTAGGCCATTTGTAGAAAAATGGATGCACCCTGAGAGCATAATACTAAGTGAAATAAATCAAACATAGAAGGTTAAACACCACATGGTTTCCCTAATATGAAAAACCCCAAATATGAATAATAGAAAGACCAAAATAAAAGAGAAATTGTAGGAAACATGGAAGTAGGCTCTGTGGAGATAGGAAGGGGATCTAGGGGAGAGAGAAGAAGAGAAGCTATAGGGAAATGAAAGTATAAATGATCAAGATGCAATATACATATGTACAAATTCCCCAAGATGAATGTAATAAATAGAAAATAAATAAATAAAAAGACTAGATCAATCAGAAGACAGACATTTAGAGCCAGAAGATAAGAAAGATGAATTATTACATTCAAACATCAACAAAGAAAATATGAACAAAGCATGCAAAACTTATAGGAATGATTACAGATATTCTTTGTGTGTGTCTTTTTTTTTTTTTGTACCAGAGATCTAACTCAGGACCTTGCACTTCTGAGGCAGGCACAGTGCCACTGAGCTAAATCCCTGGCCCCAGATATTCCTTGTTTAATGACCTGTTTAATGACTGATCAGACTTCCACTAAGGCATGCACTGTTCAAACTTACAACCCACCAGACTTACAACCCGTCTTTTTTTTTTGGTACAGTTCTGAACATCTTGTTTGTAGAGCCTCAATGTCTTTTTGTGCACAGTACACCTTGCTTATACAATACTGTGATTTTTGTTGATTGAACTGTACACTACAGTACTGTGCTTTTATGTCCTGCTATATATTACAGTACTGCATGTAAAAGTTATGCAAATAAAAGCAAAATCATCAAGTTGGAGTTTCCTTTGACCATTTCTTTGTTCTGAATATTGTATTGTACATACTATACACAATTCCTCACTTAGTGAACAACTCATTTAACAACCTAGTCACAGGATCATAACTCATTTGTCAAATGTTTCTATAATAGATGAAACTTACTATGTTTGGAAAAGAAAGACCCAAGATACAGACAAATGTATAAAAGTCTATTTATTGAAATAATAGAAAAATTTCAAAATTCAGATAGATATGCACATAAAAGTACAAGAGACAGTTTTGAACAGCCAAGGGACACGACCAGCAAAAATCCTCCATGTTATACTGTAGTTGAAATATCAAGAGTACAGAATAAAGGGCCAGGGATTTAGCTCAGTAGTTTCATCACCTGCTGCACAAGCACAAGGAGCCAAATTCAATCCCCGGTACCAAAAAAAAAAAAAAAAAAGAGTACAGAATAAAGAAAGAATCTTCAAAGCTCCAAGAAAAAATACCAAGTCACTTATCGAGGCAACTAATTTCTCAGCAGAAACACAAAGGGCCAGGAGAGCAAGGAATGAAGTATTTCAAAGCCTGAAAGAAAATATCTGCCATAGCAAATTACTAATTGCAAAGCAATTTTTCAGGATTAGAGAAACACTTTCCAAGATAAATATAAACAAAGAAAATTCATGATGACCAAACCTGCATCACAGAACATACAGGAATTCTACATATAGAAGAGGAAGAGAGCACAGAAAAAACTAAGTCTCATTAGAAGAGTGCATGAGAGTCTGGGTGTGGTAATGCATGACTGCAATCCGAGCACTCGGGAGGCTGAGGCAGGAAGACTACTGTCATTCAAGGCCAGCCTGGGCTACATAGTGAGTTCAAGGTCACCCTGAACTACATAGCAAGACCCTGTCTCAAAAAAAAAAAAAAACAGAAGAGTACTTTAGCAAGTGAGAATTAGGAAAGAATCAAAGCAAGTCCCAACTGTGCTGCCTTCAAGAAACACATCTCACTGGCAAAGCACACAGACTGAAAGTGAAAGGATGGAAAAATGATATTCCAAAAATGGAATAAAAAAGCAAGCAGGAGTAGCTACATTCATATGTGGTAAAGTAGATTTCAAGACATTCCAGACAAAGACATACTGCATATTAGCAAACACTTGTAACTACAAAGAAGACACAATAATGGTACAACTGATTTCATTTTTAATAGTGCTACTTGATATAAAAGAAACATAAGCACCAATAAAATAATGGGTATCTTTAACTCAACTCACACAAAAAGATACATCATCCAGAAAAAAACCAACACAGAAATATCACAATTAAACTACATTCCAGACCAAATACACTTACCAGACATATACAGAATATTCCATCCAAAAACAGAGGAATAAACATTCTTTTCAGCAGCTCATAGAGTTTTCTCAAAAATAGGGCCAGGGATGTAACTCAGTGGCACTGCACCTGCCTCGCAAGCACAAAGTCCTGAGTTCAATCCCCAGTAC